CCTTGGGAATGGTGCAGGAAAATTTATGTATTACTCAAGGTGAGAACAAACCTATGAAAGGTACCCATCTGAGCTGACAGTGTAGAAAGAAACTCATGCCTATTTATTCTTGAAGGTGTGAGGTGTGGTCAAACCTATAAAAGATACCCATCTGGGTCGACAGTTCAGGAGCAAACCCATAAAAGATGTTTGTTTGTCCCTTGAAGATTCAAGATGGGGTCAAACCTATAAAAAATACTCATTTCTGTCGATAGTTCGGGAACAAACCCACAAAAGATGCGTGTCTGTCCCTTGAAGGCTCGAGGTGCTGTCAAACCTATGAAAATTCCTTATCCAGGTCGATAGTTCGAGATTAAAGCCATTAAAGCTGGGTTTGTCCCTTGAAGGTCGAGGTGGGGTCAAACCTATAAAAGATACATCTTGGTAAACAATTTAGGGGCAAACCCATAACAAATACTTGTCTATCCCTTGAGTGCTCAAGGTGGGAAACAACCTTAAAAGGTATCCATCCAGCTCAACAGTTCAAAAACAAATCTGTGAAAGATGGTTGCATGTCTCTTGGGGAGAGGTGTGAGCAAACCTATAAAAGGTATCCATCCGAGTTAGTTGTGCAGAATTGTAAGAGATACCTACCAAAAAAAATAAGCCATGAAGAATGAAGCCAGGTGAAAACCCAGTCTTCAATTCAAACCCAACCCATCTGGTTGCCACCCCTAGGTTATGGTTCCCATCCAAAGACAACACATCGATCGTAGGTTGTCAGCATTGACTACACTCTGATGATATATATGTCGAACATCCGGAGTACCAAGGTGTGTATGACAAAGTCAATTTCTAAACACTATGGTCCATAGCTGTGGATCGTGGAAAAGGTGGCAAATTTACAAGGGAGAGCTTCCAAAAAGGCGCCTGATTGGCTCAAAAACCCTGGGAACAATAGAAAATGGCTAGAACCAAGAACTCTGAAATTTCGCGTCTTTCTGACACTGTTTGATGGGATTTACTAAAAGTTTTGAGTTATTACATACCATACAAAAGTCAAATCATGCTAGAAATGACTATTTTTTGTAACTTTTGGAGGTGATTTGGCACAAACCCCATGGAGTTTTGATCTGCGCTTCAGACATGTTCCTCTCAACAAGCACTTTCTGATGATGTATATTTTATGGGGGTTTTGATGCCTGATAGTGGTGAAATGTTAAAGAAAAGTCAAAGGTGTTTTTATATTTATGCAGTTTGCAATGCTCATGACTTTCGCTCAATTTTCATGCGACTTCTCCCTATTTGGGGGGAATATTTCAAGGGTTTTATTCTATAGACTCACAATTCTCTTTCAATTGATATGTGGCTAGCCACAATCAGCTTGGAGATGGCAGATGATCTTGAGGACGATTTGTGACCCATTTTTATGACAGTGATGAAAATCATGATTTTGGAACAGTGAAAGACCCATAGCTCATTCAATATGTGGAGTTTTTGGGTGACTCTTGAGGCAAAACATCCATGAGATCGTTCTTTACGGTTCTATGGCACCGAAATAATGAAAATCTAGCCAAATAAGAGGGAAAGGTGTGTAGAGAGAAGCATGTGGCCAATTTTTGAAGACCTATCCATAAAAAGATCTAAAACTCCTTCAAATCTTAGAGTTTATTTTTTATCAATTTTGTTGTAAAACAATCATGAGGTGATTCTCTATGATTTGGTGGTGTTGGATGGCTATGGTTGGAATTAAGCTTTTCAAGGGCAAATATCGATATTTTCATCTTTTTGATCTTAACAAAAATGCCCTTTTGAATTATTATGGGATAAAAAGGTGATAATCCACCCATATATGATCCTAACTTTTGATTTTCTACCTTAGTTTGGAACCCTATCTATAAAAGGGGTTAACCCCATTCATTTTCAAGGTTGGAGATCATTTATGTAGGTTAGAGAATTCTAGTGAGAGAAAACACTTCTAGAGAGAAACCCTAAACCTATTGAACTGCGATTAGGGCACTGCTCCTTTCCTAAGCTTAAAACTTTGGAGGCTAGTAGGGGTTTTGCCTAACGTTGTCCCCCTTTTGGAGAAATTCTTGTGCTTCCCAAACCTCTTTTTTTGCAAGGCACCCGCCCGATTGTGCGGGGCATCTCCTGGTATCCAAAAAACCACGTTGTCTAAGAGGGCCACTTAACCGGACTAGGAGGATTCGAACTCAAAATCAAGTGTTTGGTCCTTGTTCCCAGTTACCACATTAATGAAATTGGTAGTGCTTGTTCGAGCTGCGTGATCTTAGAGTGCATTATCCACTACCAACTTTGGAATCCAAAACAAAAAAAAAAAAAGAGGAAAGGAAAAAAAAACATTAACACACACGAAGAGAACTGGCAGAACACCTGGTTTCCCCATTGCCTTTAGAATTCAAATCTTTCCAAAAGCTTTAACCTTTTTAAAAGATTAAATCTTTCTCCAAAAGAATTCTTATCATGTTTTAATGTTGAATGAAGATTCATAAAGATAAAAAAAAAATATATATATGGGTCCTTCCCAAGCCCTAAAATTTATGAAATAATTATGAGAAGAAATGGTTGCACATGGAATATGTGCACACGTCTGTCACACATGTTGCTCACATGTTCCTCAACTGCTCTTAAACCATATATTGAAATTCTTGTATCTTTGGAAAGGACAAAAACATAATTCCAAAATAGTCTTTTAGAGAGTACACAAGTATATTCCACATATCCTCTCTCCTTTAAGAGTGCAAAAATTTTAATTCTAAGGTGACTCTTGGAAGGAGAAAAACTCATCTAATCTCTTTAAGAAATGCATATTTGGTGGTCGTAAAGGTAGTGGGAAAAGTTAAAAGAGTGGGCATGCCGTGGTATAATGCATTGGGTTAGAATTAGGAAGTCCATGTATGCTAATCATGTATTCACACTTGACCTCTCATATTAACCCAATGGAACCCATGACCCATTTGTCTCTCATGCAGGCCCTCATGATGGACCTATTAAAGTTTGCCAAGATGTAAATAGATTGCAAGGTTGCTATGGATTTCAGGTGCCCCCATGACATATGCATTATCCAAGTGGACGTCTTCTCTCAGCACATACATTCGTAGGCTTCCTAAGTTCCCCCAAAGATGTGGCTATCATGCATGCTTGCTGTGAGGCGGTATGTTAAAGTTTTGACCCTTGCCAATTCAAGCCTATAAACCCTCATGCAAGAGAACATATTCCTCCTAGCTCACAACCTGAGATCTCAGTCGAACCTCAACTAGGGATGACCTGTAAACTCTCTGTGATGGTGTTCCAGGCCTCATGCCTCTTTGGAGCCTAGGGTCCCAGGGTTTTTCGGGTCGTCAGCTTAGGTCTATCCTGCAATCCACGACGAGAGTGCTATGGACACTCGTGCTCCTCTGCTCAAAGGCCCTCATGGATTTTAAGCCCATTGGTCCTCATTGACCAATCCACACCCCCACTCAAACTGGGGTGCCTCTCTTTAGTTCACTAATTGCATGAGCACTTACACGGGTAATACAAGAGCCAAGGTCTTTGGAAGCCACAAAAATCCAAAACTCCATATGTTTAGCAAGAATTTTTTTTATTCTCTTCTAGACCTCATTTTATTTTTTATTATATATATTTCATTGTGCTCTCTATTACTATTCAATTACACCTATGCATTAGTTTGTTAAGTGTGGAACCAAAATACGATGTTGCATGTTATGATTCTTTCCCCCAATTGTCACGCTGCTATCTTTGAAGTTTGATTGCTTTTTTGTATTTGCAATAATGTGCGTAGTAGGGTGCTTTAGAAGTTCTCCAGAAATGTTCCATTTGGACTGCTGAAGCTATTGTATGTGATGCTTGTGTAAATTTATTGTAAGTATTAATGACTTGCAGTTTTGGTTTCTTCTCAGGCACCTCCTCGGGCTGAAGTAGTGAAGAGATTGAGAAATGGTATTGTGATTAACGTCCTTGGAATGGGTGCTACAGTGCTTGGGATGCAAGCTACTATTGGTTTATTGGTAGCAAAGGCTCTCACTTCCTCTGCTACTCCATATTACCAGGGGCTAACTCCTGGTTATAGTCCAGTTTTAGCTCTCGATGTCTTCTTGGTGCAGGTATGTAGCTTTCCATATTCCATTGCATCTCCCTAATTTCATTTTCAGGTTTCACTGTCACAAGGTAGCCTATATGGTTGCAGTGGGATTACTATATGATTATGGCTTCCAAGTCTTTCTGCCAGGCCTTTCTTGTATGTCAAACCTTTCTTACAAAGTGTCTATCCGATGGAGATCCAATTCCTATGTGTTACCTGATCATGCTTCTTTCTAGTAGATTGCAAAGCAGTTAATTTTTAGCTGAAATTGGATTGGTGGCCTTTTCCTTCGGATGTGTGAGGTTTTGATGAGAACAGTCTTATAGGCTTATCGGTTCTGCAGAACCGCTACAAAAAATATTCATTAGAGTGAACGCTTAAGATGAAGTCATAAACTGTCAGATTTGGTTTGAAGCTTACAAGAGAGAGGACATCATATGCAAAGATAGTTTGATATGACTTCATCTTATAGGGTTATCAGTTCTGCATCTTAAGTGTCCCCCAGATGAAGTCATACACTGTCAGATCTGGTTTGAAGCTTACAAGAGAGAGGACAAAACCATTTCAATGTTAGGGGCCACTTAAAAATAAGATTTAGGACATGAAAAATAGGGATGGACCATGCCCCCTCGTTCTTTGGACCGCTCACAGGACATGGCCCCATTTGGGCCATCTCTTCACTTGGAGGCAGTCCACCCCTCCCATTTCAAATTTATTGCCCTGTGAAAGGCGGCTGTCCCCCCCCCACATCCCCCTTTGACAGCTAGACCCCCCAATAGCATGCCCTTCCTTATTTCCCGAGGCAGAAGCCCCAACTATCACTGTCTCTCCCTCCTCATCTCTCTCCTCGGGTTGACCCCTGGCTTCAATCTGGAAGGGCCCCTTTGCGTGTCCCTGCCCTCACCGCCTGCTTTGATGCCCCAGGCAGAAGACTCTAGGCCACCTGTACAAGCCCTTTCTCCCTCGTCGTCAACCCCCCATGTTGGACAATGCCTTGTCCCTGACCTTCATTTCCCTTCCCGCCACATTCCCTTGCCCCATCAACCCCTCCATCGTGATCATCGCCCCTCTCTTGATGATGACAAAGGCTTCTATCCCTCCCACTTCCACTCACTGATCCCCCATCCTCTGAGCTCCTCCTTTCCCGTCCAAAACCTTGTTCCCCTTCCCTAGTTTGAGCTCTTCCTTTCCACCCACAATTTTTCCCTCTTTCCCCCCCTCCCCCCTCCCTCTCCTACCAGCCTCCCTCGTCTACAACATCCGACCTTATGGCCCTAATTTGATATTCTATACCTCTCGACCGCCCTGCACCCTCTGAGGGCCCCTCACTCCCATTCCTTTGGCCCATGCCCTCACCTCTCTCCCTGCTTTCCCCAACCTTCCTCCCTAGCTTCCTCACCTTCCCTCTGCCCTCTCGCACTGGCAAGGTTTGACCCATCCCTACCGCATATTCAACCCCCCTTTTCCTTTAGGTATCCAAAGGTGGCAGCTTCGGCCTCTCTTACCCTCCCTTTCTGCACCTCTTTACTCGTTGACTTTCCACGACCTTGTACCTATCCTTAGCTTGGATGCCTCCCATTCTTGGGACCTCTACTTCTCTTCCACCCGTCCTTTGGAGGGCTTCTCCTTACCCCTTCTTTTCTTATCTAGTCTCTTGCCACCCCACCTGTCCAATACCAACTTTTTCGAAACCCCCCCCACCTAGCTGCTATCCCTGTCCCACAGCCCCAACCATCCAATCTTCGCTCCCTTGCCCTTAACTAATCTCCCCTTCCCACCCCCTATATCAGCCATCTCCATCCCCTTTTCTTCTTCTACCCCACGTTCGACCCCCCTGGGGTGGAGTAGTATTCACATCCCCATCTGGGAAACCTTACCCCCCACCTCTTCTTTGCTACAACTCCCCTGCATCCAAGATGAGCTCCCACTCTCATAGTTACCAAGATCTTCTAATGAGAGGTTCACTTCTACTCTGGAAGCTTGATCCCACGCTCTGAGACACGGGGTCTTGATTCCAGGTGATTCCTTGATACTTGGGATCTTGATTCGGGAAATTAGGAACTCGCTTCCATGTAAATGGGATCCAGATCCAGATCCCTATGCCAAAAATCATGGTTCTATGGTCAAGCTGAACCATGTTTCCACCAACTTGGAACCGAGTATCCTTTACTTTGGGAGCGAGTTTCACCGGAAAAGTTTTTTTGTTCATATACAATGGAGTGTGGATCTCAATTTTTTGTGCTCTAAAAACCTTTTCAATGCCATGCTTTCCTATATACGCTGCACTACACAACCATGCACACCTTTTGAAATATGATTTGTGTCTAATTTCAAAGAAAGGTAACAAGAGTGGCAAGGAGAGAAAAGGAAGAAGTTGGGAGGAGATACAAAAGTTAGTCGTGTTGTGATTATATTGAGAAGTGAGGTTGCAATCAATGTGCTTAACTACCTTGGGGCTAGTTCATTGGGTCATGTCGACTTCTCGAAGGACTTCTATTGCTCAAGTGTTGGTAAACCAATTCAAGCCACTCATGGGGTTGCCTTATGGGTGATGGAGTAACTTGGAGAGCCATTGGAAAGATTAAATACGACAATGTCTCTCTTTTTCTTGTTTTTCAAAGGAGAGCTTAGCTATCACAACATTTCTTTTTTGGAAAAAGGTATTGCAGCATTATTGGATATGTGAATTTTGAAAATAGTTAAATTGTTCATTGGAATTCACTCCCAAATTACAATACAAGGGAAAAATGAACTTGGGGGACCTCAATCCTAATAATGGCAAAATGCGATCCCATTTAGTAAGAAACCCGCTCCTCTGCAGATAAGCAATGGGCTCCCTGAAGTCAAGGATCTCAATCCTTTCCTTGGCCATGTACGGATCTTGTTCTACCGGCCGTAGAACTTCAAGCCTGCCTCTCTTCTCACTCTTGCTCCCTATCCAGGATATACTCCTACTCCTATTCCGGTTAACTATGGCTACTCTACATCTCAAACTTTTGTAAACTCCAATTTAGTCAATGTTATGGACGACACGCAAGGCGATATTCACCAAATCCTCAGGGTGATGGGCCTCTAATATGATGGATTACATGAGGATACCAAAGCCTTCATTAGAGCAGACGCCCAAACAAGGTTCAAAGTACATGCCAAAGACCAAAAGGAAATCTCAAAGCTCGCTTTTTGGGTCAATTATAACTAGGAGGACCATGTCCCCCCCTCTTGTCCTACTTGTGGACCCAATCCTCTTGGCTTGTCAGCTCCCCTGGTGCTCTCCTAAATGCGCCTTCAGGGCTTGGGAGATCCTGATACATGCAAGGCTGTCCATGACTTCAGCCTGAAATTTTTGAGTAAAGTACTGGCCATAATCGAAACTAAACTTCCTCCTTCCCTTCTCTAGATACCACTGGGGCTTCAGGCTCTGCATGTGGGTGGCTTTGGAAGCTTAAGGTGCTTCTTGAGGCATTTGGGTATTTTGGGATCCCTCAACGCCCTCTCCAGCCCCCTTGTGGGCAATTTCTCCATCTTAATCGCCCTTACTTGAACCTTCGATGGTCTATAACGTCACCAGATGGTCCTTTGAGCTTAACTCTAACCCACAAATATCTCAATCAATGCTCGACTTCTCCGAATTCATCTCTAGAAATCATCTCCTCGACATGCCTCTTCGAGGAGTAGACTTCACTTGGTCCAACCCTTCCTCTAACTCGTCCAGTGTTTCAAAAAGCACTAGGCGGCACCTAGGCAATCAAGGGGGTCCAGGCCGCCCAGCTCCTAGGCCTAGAACCTGGGCGGCCCAGTAGAAATTTTTTTCTTTTTTGGGTTTGCTCTCTCCAAAATAGCCTCTAATGGGTTTTAGGTTTCAAATGAACCTAAAACCCACAATTTTACCCTTTTAGTATTAAAACAATGACCCAAAAATACCCTTAAGGAGCCGCATTTCAGCCCCTAGGCGGGGCACAGGCCTTGGGCGGCCTAAGCTGTTCAGGCGGGCGCCTAAGTGTGTGCCCAGGGATATCCGCCTAATTTGGCTGCCTAGGCTTGGACAATGCGTCCTGGCCTTCTAGATCGCCTAGGTGGCCGCCCAGGCGTTGGGCAGTCTGCTTTTTAAACCATTGAACCCATCCCTCTCTAAACTGAATGGATACCTCATCTCCCTCGATTAGGACTCCGTGTTCCCCAGAACCAGAACCTGTGCCATAGCCCTCACCAAACCTACTTCTGACCATTGGCCTATTCTTCTGGATATCGAAACTCTTATGGTTTGAACTGGCTTAGCTCAAGGAGCCTAGTTTTATGTCCCTCATCCCTTCCTGGTGGGAGTCCTTTATGAACCAGTTCCATGGTTGGGCTGGCTTTCTCTTGTAGCAAAAATTGCAACTTCTCAAAGCTGCCTTGATAACCTGGAGTCGCCAACTCCTGGGAAACTTCTGGGTCCAGAAAGAAGCTTGCCTTCAGAACTAGGACTCCACCGAAGAGCGCAAAGCCTTGACTCTTGACCAAAGGCACCAAAAAACACAACTATGAGCTCAGCTACCAGCTTCTTGTCCATAAATAAGAGATCTTTTGGTCCCACCGATCCATGGTCAAATTGCTGAAACAATGGCGACCTTAATACAACTTTTTTCACAAGATTGCTACCTGTAGAAGGTGCAACAACTCCATTTCCCAAATCAAAGGCGGTAAACTCGTCCTTCACCAACATCCACAAGTGGTAAATGCCATCATTGACTTCTTCACAAATCTCGTTGCGGCTCCCTCGGGCCCTAGGCTGAGGATGGCTAATGTGTCTTTCCAAGCTATCCCACCAGACAAGGAAGCCTAGCTCGAATGTTCTTTTTCAGAAGCGGAGATCCTGGGGGAAATTAAAGATCTTGGTCAGGACCTTGCTTCTGCTCTGACAGATATCCGGTGGCTTTGTTCAAAACCTTATGGGACTCCCTTTGACCTGACCTGCTTGCTTTCTTCGAAGAATCCCACGGAAAAGGTGTAATCCATAAGACCATGAATGTTACCTTCAGCACACTTATCCCCAAAGTTGAAGGAAGGACTTTAGTCCAATCAGCTTGATCAATAGCTCGTACAAGATCATCTCCAAGGTTCTCACTTCCAGGCTGAGAGAGGTCCTTGGTTGGTTCATCTCCTTGAACCAAGGGGCCTTTGCCAAGGAGTGCCAAATCCTTGACAAAGCCTTAGTGGCTCATGAGAATCACTTATCCAAGGTCCCGGGTGCGGTCACCAAATTGGACTGGGAAAAGCCTATGACCACGTTGATTGGCCCTACATAGGATGGGCTTTGGGCTAGGATGGAGGGTCTTGATCCATGGCTGCATCTTGAACCCCTTCGTCTCCATCCTTATCAACGCCTTTCCTAGAGGATTCTTCCCTTCTTCTAGAGGCCTCAGGCAGGGACACCTCCTTTCATCCTTCCTGTTTGCCATTGTTGCCGAAGTAGTTAGCAAGTCCATCTCCAGGATGTACCTAAACGGCCTCCTTAAAGGTTTCAATATTGGGAGTCATCGACCTGAGATCACTCACCTCCAATATGCCAACGACACTCTTCTATTTCTGTGATGCCACCACCCAACAAGTTGACGCCTTGCTCCTCTTCCTCTGCTTCGAGATGGCCACTGGTTTTAGAGTGAACATGGCCAAATCCAAAATGATTGGAGTGTCCACCGAGGCCCAACTCATTAGTAACCGAGCTGATCGGTGGGGTTGCAAAGTCGATGATCTGCTATCGTTCTATTTGGGATTGCCCCTGTGCATTGGCAATGGAGCCATGTCATTGACAAATTCGATAGGAGGCTTGCTTGGTGGAAAGACAGGTTTCTTTCCTCTGCAGGTAGAATCACCATCATTAAGGCCACTCTCTCCGATGTCCCTATCATCCAGATGTTGCTCTTCCATATGCCTTCCTTGGTTGTGGCTTGCCTAGATCAGCTCATGAGAAACTTTCTCTGGTTGGGAGAGGGGGACAGAAGTACCTCCTGATCTCTTGGGCCAAAGTATGTTCACCTAAATCCCAAGGTGGCCTAGGCATTTGCAGCCTTAAAACCAAGAGCTTGGCTCTCCTTGGCAAATGGTGGTGGCATTTTACCACTCAAGAAAACCACCTGTGGCAAGGTGTCCTCCGGCACATGTATCAATGCATAGAGTCCACCTGCCTCCATAGATCCCTACTCTACAGCTACAACCTCTTCAAAGACAACATCGACTTTTAACCTCGGGTGGGAAGTAGAATCGATTTCTGGTCCGACCTTTGGATAGGTCATTCCCCATTGAGGGTGCATTTTCCTAATTTGTCCTCCCAGCCAAAGACTGTCATGGGCCAAAGACTGTCATGGCTGACCACTTTGTCATGTGGGAACCCCGAGGATTTAGAATCCCAAACTTTAGGAGGCCCGTAGCGGACCACAAAGTGGAAGACTTCTTCGTATTGTTCTCCGTTCTTCAGTCAGTTTTCCAATCCAAGGCGCCGACAAGATCATTTGGTCACCTGCCCCCCTCAGGAGTCTTCTCGGTTTCTTCTTTCTACTGCAAACTCCAAATGTGGCCAATCTGGCCAGCCTCGTCCTCATCCATTGCTGTAAAAGGTTGGCTCCCTTTTGTCCCTCCCAAAGTGTTTTTGCTGGATTGCTTTATCCTAGAGAACCCTAACAGTTGATTAGCTTCAAAGAAGGGGACTGCCCATACCAAATAGATGCATCACGCGCACGGTGGAGGAAGAAACCGAAGCTCACCTATTCATCCACTGTGACGTTTGAGTACCCTCTGGGGGGACCTACTCCAACTCTTCAACTGGTCCTGGGTGACTCTGAGATCAGTCCCACACCTCTTTCACTCCCTCCATTCCCCATTGTGGTCGAAGTCTGGCATCCTTTGGTGGGCCTCTGTGGCTGCCATGTTGTGGGTGCTTTGGGGCAAGAGGAACAACAGGACCTTCTGTGGTGAGAAGGTTACCAGCAAAGCCTTGAAAGACAGGGTTAAAACATTGCTGATCTTTCAAGTAAAAAATCACAAGTCCTTCAAGCATTTCTCTGACACAGACTTTCATCAAGACTGGCAGGCCTTGCTGAATCTGACGCCCACCTGTATCCCTCGCGCCTCGCTCTGTATACCTCTTGAACCCGGCCAATCGAAGCTTAAATTCAATGGCTGCTCCCTAGACAACTGGGGCCTAGCAGGCATAGAGGGTATTTTTGAGACAAGGACGGTCAGACCCTCTTCTCCTTCTCTCGATTCATCGGGCACACTGATTCTAGTATTGTGGATGCTATCGCCCCTCTTCGGAGGTCTTAGGAACTTCAGTCCCACCTGGAGTCCAGTTTTGGTCACCGAGAGGGACTCCAAATATGTTTTCGCTTGGGCCTCAGGATCTTCTCCTTGTCTTTGGAAGCGGGACCATATTTGTGATGAAAATTTTCACATTTACAGGCATGTCTTATGGAGACATACCTGGTGAGAGGACAACGTAGCAGCTGATGCCCTCGCTAAAGAGGGAGCAATAGTAGAAGGCATACAGGGGATTTTCTGGCACCTTTTTTAGTTATCTTATTTTGTTATTTATAATTTGGATGTAAAGCACTTTTTGAGCCCTTTGCAGGTTTTTGTATAGAGCACCAAGCCTGTGGGTTTGCCTTAAACTCTTGTATTTCAATTACCCTTTACCTCGATTCAACAGTCAACACATTCAAAAAAGAAAAATATGGAAATGTGAAACCAAGTTGTTAGCCTAAAAAAATTGGTTTCCACGAAGCACACACTTAAAACGAATCCATGAAAATGGATGCAAATCCTTTAGTAGGGGACAGAACTCTTCCCAAAATTAATGTGCATCAAGTTTTGTTGAGTTGTTTTCTGTTTTACCAAGGTGGTCCACGCTTTAATATGAAGAGGTAACTGTTCCTTTTGCTGGTTTTTTTTTTATTGTTTTTTATTTTTTTTTCTCTTTTTATGTCAACTTTGCTGGTTATTCTTTTACAGTATTGGCTCATGTGTATTGCTGGGGCTGTGCTCAAGCTGAGGTATGTCCAGGCTGGAAATATATGTAGAAGGGCCCGGCCCAAGCCGAGCCTACAGGGCAACCAGGGTTGCCCAAAAGCAGGCCTGGCCTGAGCCCAAAGGCCAAAGGCCGGCCCACACCCATTGGCAGCAGTAGCCACATAAGGCTGCCAATAGGCTAGGTTTGGACAGGACTAGGGTTGGGTTGGGTTGGCCCCAGCCTAGCAGAACCTTTATAGCTCAGTCTGGGCATGAACTATTTAATGCCAAGACTGGCCCACATGCTATGCCTGGTGGCCCAAACCAAGCCCTAAACTGGCTCTGGCCAGGATGCCTGAGGGCTATCGAATTGGCAGCTCTAGTATTACGAGTTGCTACAGTTATTAAGTGCCTATGAGGGTGTACCTTTTATTCTTTATAAGTCTCTAGGGTGTCGTAGTCCATCTGCAGTGTCTATTGAAATTTAGGAACCTTATAGAGACTGCAATGAAGGATTTTTCTCCTCTTGCTCAACCTATGGCTTGTATGGGATATTTTTTGGTTTTTCTTGGAGTCATTAACAATTCACAATTGAGTTAACATTGTATCTAGTTGAGTGAATTTTCATCACAGGACAGAATATTGATCACTAATAGTTTTGCTTTTTTCAATAGTTAGTTTCATTCTTTTACGCATCCTCCCAGTCATATCTTCCGTGAAAGCAGGAGTCCTGTCGAATGAAGTGAACTTGTTTAGAAATTGCCACCTTTGAAGGTAGTGCCACATGTATGGGAGAATTCTAAATGTATAAGTACTGCCATCCTTGGGTATGAAGTTTCTTATCAAGCTTCCTTTCCATGGGAGTTCCACTATATGTTATGCAAGAAAAATGTGATCCTTTGGGGATGATCTAAACTGCCATCATGAAGCATTAGATTACATTTTATTTGGCCGTAAATTAGCTTTTTAAAGTTTTCATTTCATGAATTTCCTATGTTGGCAGCTATTGTAGGATTTTTGGTTTATTTAGCAATCTTCCTTATTGGGTCGGCCATAAACATCTCTGCTTGGTTTCTCCTGTTGTGATTCTCAGACTTAGTGTTTATGAATTTGGGTTATAAGAATGTTTTGCTTGTGAAATAGGTTTGCATACATTTTAATAGGATGGCTGGTTTTAAGATTGAGAAAACATATTCATGCAGAAATTTGTTAATCTTCCATATCCAAAAAAAATAAAAAGGATCTTCAATCACGGACCGCACATTTGGAAAATAAAAAATTTAGAAAGTTAATTAGGGTGAGATTCTTCGTTATCACAGTTGTAGTTTATTAAGGAAAGGAAATCTAACCCCAATGAGAGCACTTGATGTGTATTCTTCTTGGTTAACACTTACTTGCTTGTGTAATCCTTTGTCTCTTGATGCACCTTCTTATTTATTAGACATTGAATACAAAACCAATATTATGATTAGATTAGTTCTTGTCAGATCTTTGCAACTTCTTCTTTGCAGGCTTGTGCAAACACTGTACTCTCTCATTTTCTGGGGCTTATTGTCTCACTGGAGCTACTGCGTTCAGTGACATCGCCATCATCAGAAGCTGTTGTCGTCCCCAAGGTTGCATAAGTGGCTGCTCTTCATCTGTTATTATAATAAAAGAAATTTCTTACTCCTCTCTCTCTCTCTCTCTCTCTCTCTGTCGGTCGTG